TTCCTGCTGTTCTCTGCTCAGCTCCTTGACATTTATGTACAAGCATTTGCATTAATGAGAACAAAGTAAGAGAAAATATTAGAAAATAAATGGACATACCAGGAGATTTTCTGGCTTGATGTCTCTGTGCACAATGTTGAGACCATGAAGGTATTTGAGTGCACTGGCTAGATTGTAGACCATTGCACTCCCATCTCGCTCTGTGTATTTCGTAGAAGAAGTGATAGCATCGAATAGATCTCCTCCCTAAAGTAATGGAAAGATAACTACATGAAAAATAATTAAGATGATGATATTTCATAAAAAAGCCACGTAAAATCTTCCTTTAAATACAGGCATGCTCAAATCACAGAATCACAGAATGGTAGGGGTTGGAAGGGACCTCTGGAGATCATCTAGTCCAACCTCCCTGCCAGAGCAGGATCACCTACAGCAGGTTGCACAGGACAGCACCCAGGCGGGTTTTAAGTATCTATGAACATTGCTAATACTCCCCCTCAGTCTTCTCTTCTCTAGGCTAAAAAAGCTCCAAGTCCCTCAGGCTCTCTTTGTAAGACAGATATTCTAGTCCCCTAATCAGCTTTGTAGCCCTTTGCTGTACCCTCTCCAATAGCTACCTGTCCCTCGACCTGCTGGTCACACTCTTCTTAATGCACCCCAGGATACCATTGGCCTTCTTGGCTACAAGGGCACATGGCTGGCTCATGGCTAACCTGTTGTCCAGTAGAACTCCCAGGTCTTTTTCCACAGAGCTGCTCTCCAGCAGGTCAGCCCCTAACCTGTACTGCTGCATGGGGTTATTCCTCCCTAGGTACAGGACCCTACACTTAGCCTTGTTGAACTTCATAATGCCTGTTAAACAGTAAAAAAAAAAAAATAGTTTGCAGAAAGATGATCTTGTCAGTAAGATACTAGACAGGGACTTGGGTCAACTACATTAAATTCTCAACTGTACTCCAGGCTTCTGGTGTCTGAGTTTGGGCAAATCACAGCTCTTCTCTGTCTTGATTTCATTCTATTGATCGTCCTACCTTTGATCACTCATTTCTCTTACCTACAGGTACAGGCATACAATTTCTCTTTTCTTCATCTTATCAATATAATATATTTACATAGCAAAAACCAGCCCTGATTTCGAGAAAAGCCTAAAGTAATATAAATTTGCCCAATAATAAAAAGCCTAACATAACAAATACTCAGCAATTGTAATGAACTGCAAATTGGAATTTCTGCAGATATTGGAGAAATACCAAATAAATATAGCTGAAGAGGAAAAACAACATAAGCATGATATTTTCCAACCTAAATGACTCTATGATACATCGAAGTGCAGAACCTACAGGTGATTTCTGAATGTGCCAGTTGTGCAGTTTCTGATTATGGATGCCCTATTCCTCTTGGAATACATAACAACATGTGAGTTACTGATGCAGCATTTCCAGTCATTGCAACAAATTTTACACGGGTGTCTCTATGATGGTTACCCTGGATACATCTGTAGGAGTGATTTGACCAAGCTGTGGGTGGCATTCCAAGCACTTCAATACACTTGGAAGAGAAGCATCAATTCAGGAGATACAGGCCAAGATGGTGGTATATTAAAATATTAAAAAATACTGTCTTATAACCAAAAAAGCCTCTACTATATAAAAATAACTTCTAGAAAGGAAGATAAATGGGTAGGCTACAGAAATTATTAATTCAGCAACTACACACTTTCTTTAGGCATTTCCCAAGCTGGCAACCATTCTAGAGAGGACTTGTGAACCTAACAATGTCTCAGACAGACATAAAAAACAATGATGATGATATATATTATTTATAACTGACATGCTGATCAAGCTGATGTGCAGTGTTGCTGTGTATGTACAGAACACAGACAAGAGAGTGCATAAGTAAAACTTGATGCAACTTGTGTATTTGGTTCACAAGGTGACAGCAAAATAAAGATTTTTTAAATTTTTTTTTTCTTTGTACATGTATGAAAGCAGCATCGATTTTCTGGTGAATGAGTGACTGATGTAAGCAAAACAGGTGAAATTTTTTTAGTTTTAATTTTGCTGGACCATAATTACTTGAATTTAAACTCTTGTATCTATTGTCTACTAAGATAAATTCATTAAATAGAGCTTGTTTCTTTAAAGCAAACTATTAAATAAAGATATTAGTGAAATAAATACAAGTGTTCTGTCAGTAATTGCATATCACTATTACCCCCACATATTGTAAACATGATATAAAATCACTATCCACTTCTTTCTAGACTGCTCACATTGCAGAATTACCTCAAATCTGTGTAAACAGTCTAATTACAAATGAAGAGACGTAAATTCCATTAACATAACTGATTGACAAGAGTATCTGCATGATTAAAAATGCAGGTTACCACTGAAATCTTACCTGACTATGTCTCCCAAGATCTTCATGTTCCTAGATACTTCTCAGATTTCACACCAACACAGAGAATTTAAAAAAAAAAAAAAGAAAGTCACTTCAGTCTTACCTTAACCAGCTCCATCACCAGATAGAGTTCTGTTGGGGTGTCCATTTCCTCTATAAGCATAATGATATTTGGATGTTTCACTTGACGCAGAATTGACACTTCATTTTCAATCAGGTGTTCCTGTTCAGAAAAGAGGACTGAAGTTTTATCTGAATAGATATGAAATTGCCAATTTACTTTTCTTTATCAGCTGACCACTGATCACTTGATCAGTGAGCACCTTTTTGCTCTTTAATTTATATAGTAGAGGGTTATTGTCAGATGCCGGATTTTTTAACTTGTATTTTAGCCCAAGTGTACTTCATCATTGACCAAATTGAATTTAAAATACCATATTTCACAAACATAACCAATGGGGTATCTCTGAAAAAAGACCCCAGCACATGACAGCAATTCAGGAAGTGCAGATTATATTCTTATGTGGGTATTATGAGGTGAAATTAAGTTCATACCCCCCCTCCCCTGAGCTGGATCACTGTAACCTGCCACCCCCCATCAGTAGTTAACATGTTCTTGATCCTCTCCAGCCTTCACCTCTCATTTAGCATAGGTTACTCAAGGACAGATTACTTAGGATTTATTTTCAAGGACTTCATTTTTTAACAAAATTGTGGAATATGTACAGGAAAAATACTATAACTGCTTTGGTTATGGATTTCAGTTCTTTTTATAAGTATGTTCAGATTTACAAACCGCAAAATATGTAATAGCTCAGGTAAATTGTTGTGGCCCCAACAGCTTAACAGCACACAGATTGAGTTTAATTCCCCCTTCCCTATACTTCTGAGGAAGTAATGGGTTTCAAGAACAAATTAGTTGCAGAGTGTTTCGTTTTCCAGAATGTCTTAGCACTTGGTTAACACTGGAGCTCAAAGAAAATTACATGCCCCTTTCATGTGAAGAATGGTTTGCATTTTCCTTTATAAATCCTCGAATACAGATATCATATTTAGGTTCACTGCAAAATAAATAACAATGCTTGCATAAAACACTAGTTTCCTTACACTTTGGCAGATAACAAATCATGCCACTGGACTCTGAACTTACGTTTAATGCACTAAGTAGTAGCATGCACCTCATGCATTTGTGAGCAGAGCACTAGAAATAGATGTGATCCATTGTGCATAAGCAGTAACTGAAGATATTACACTACTTCATCAGGGTTATTTATGGATGCATTGTGTTTTTGCCAAAGCTTTGTGTGGCTATGTAACTCAGAAACCACATGCCATTTGTGAGTCTCATTTTGTGAGAGTATGGTGCGGCATATATGGGTTAACAGTCACACCTTTGAAATTCAGTTTGAAAGAGCATCAATTGTCATTCTGAACAAACATATGTCTGCTCCAAGCAAAGTGCTCTGGAGAAAAAACAAACAAACAAACAAACATGAAGCAATTTTGTTAAACATGATGCTGAGTCTCATCAACAGACAGAAGTGAACAGCCACAGCATACTAAGCCTTATGGATGGAAGCCTGCAAATTCAAAACTAGCATTAAGAGTCCAAGCAAAAGCTAGAATCTTATTACAGCTTTTTCTACCTAAAGAACAGGTAATATATTAAATTTATTACATTCATTAATTACAAATAAGGCACAACAGCTTTACCTGTGCTTTCTTTGCTTCACTTGACTAAACTGTTAATTGCTTTAAGTAAAGCTCAGGCATAAGTAATGGTTATTTAAAATAAAAAATATTTTTTGAAAAAGGCTCCAAAATGTTGTTGAGCTACTGTCTTAATACCTGTCCTCAAAATGCTGACTAATAAATAGTTAGTTATATAGTAGAGGGTTATTGTCAGATGCTGGATTTTAACTTGTATTTTAGCCCAAATGTACTTCATCATTGACCAAATTCAATTTAAAATTAAATTAATTTAATTTACCCTACCATTTTTTGCTATCTTTTGTAATGTAAAAAAAAATAATTCTCAAACTTGTTATAACATTCTCCTGGATAGTGCAATATAGATTTCAGTCTACATTAATATGATTTATTTACAGAGAAATGATTGTATATTAACATGTAAGTTGCTTGTGGAAAATACTTTAGTCAACTGGATTCAAGTTTTAGGACATCCAACATAAACTGCTAGAGAGCAGAGAGCAACATACAAGTCACGCATATTTGGGCCAGATGGGTGTTTTTAAGGGAGGGCTTCTGTTGGCATGTGAAACAGAGTGAGGAAGGAGTAAGCTACAGCAAAATTTAATTAATTTCTTTGTTGGAATTCTTCCTGGACAGTTCTGCCACTGCCCTAGCATGTATAAACATCTTCCTAACAATAATCCTCTGCTTGTACATACGCATATATCTGTGTGTAGCTATACAGACACAGGTCCTTTCCAAACAGACAAGAATGCATCCATGGGGTTGATATTTTTTATTTGTTTGTTTTAAAGCAGTGAGAACAATAGATAGAAAATACGTCTAAACTCTGCTGTACGAAATGGATTGTCTATCTCTAGACCGTTCCAATTCATGATACCTAAGCAGCTGACTCAGACAAGTAATAAAAAACATGGAAAGTTGCAAGCTGTACATGTCACTCAAAAGTTTTCTTTTGCAGTGAAACACAGTGGGTCAGCCTTCCCACAGCCAAAGAAACAGCAACATTTTACTCTCAAAAAGGCAATTCTAGCACTTTTTCTTGTGGTTGTACATTTCCAAGATTCCTTTCTAAATTTTCACTTAAACCTACAGAATATGAGATAAGGTGATGGGGAGGCGGGAACACTCATCTTTTCGTACCTAACACACAATTTAAAATCTGCATAGATAAAACATTTCTGTTTGAGGACCTCTAGTTAAAGCAAGTCATCACAGCAGGTAATGCATTAGTGCACAGCAATATACAGCTCCTTACCACACAAAGAACATCCTACAAACTTGCTACATCTTCCTACAAGGTCACATTCAGCATTTGGAGCTCCGAGTTACACTCTATGTAACTTACAAAAAGGTTACCGTTGAATTAAAACACTGACTTGGTTGCAAAGTTACCTTCAGAATCACTTCAGTGCAATCATTTACATAAAAAAATAAGGTGTTTGCATCAAAAAGTCCATCTTTTCAGTCCTCCTTGAGAGGATGGCATATTTACTACTCTCAAAGAGACTTTAATCCACAATTTGATGCTAATTAATACTGTGCCCTCGGTGATCTTCTAGCTAACAGTAAACTATGACCCATTTGATTCCTAAGTTCCTGAAGAGCATTATGTTTTTAAGGCATTGCAAAGCAGTGAAAATAGAAGTATGTTATTTGTTGTTATCTGTTCCAACACAGTCTACATTCTTGGCTGTAGGCTAGGGGTTTTTTTCTTCCTTTTTTTAAAATCTCTGTACTTAGGAGGAAGGTGAAAAAGAGGTCTGACACTCTCAGATATTTGCTTCGATTACATAACATGCTGTTCTGCTGGAGAGACAATTTTGAACTTTTTTTTTTGAGCTTGAATTAAAAAGACATTTTAAGGAACTTCTGTTAAGAGATCTTTGTTATCCAGGATGGTGAAATGACAAACAGAAAGAAATGGTTGCAAAAATTTCTTTCAAAATCTATGTTCTGCATATAAAAGGAGCATGTACAGCCATAAAAAGATAAAAATAAGAGGCAGAAAGGGATATGAATTTTATAAATACACATATAGCTGCAAATTTCCCCTCTCATATTTTAAAGATCAAAATCTTTCTAATATATTTGGACACATACTAGCATTTTCTTTGTTAGTCCAATAATATCACAACAATTTGTTTATTTTTTACTCATTAGCTAGTAGACTAACACTTATTACTTTTTTTATTTGCTTCTTAGATACATTATCATCCTGCTAAACAGATATTCTGAAAATACTCAGAAAACCCAAACACACCCACCATTTATGACTAATGAGCAGCTGCTAGTGCTGTTTCTGCTATTTCTTTTACACATGCAAATTGTTGTACACTACCTTTCCACAGCATTTAGCCTTGTCTATGATCTTCAGTGCAAACTCCTTTCCTGTGGATCTAGCAAGACAAATATAAGAACCATTGATTAGAAACTGATCAACAAATCCTTGCATTATCTGTAAGAATATACATCATCATAACAGAATGCCTTGACTCACGGAGGTTGCTGACACAAAAGTCACAGAATGGAGTTGATTTTGGTTTTTGTTTTCTCAGCAGCATTTGTGCTTGCTGTTTCCCCAACTACCACAACCTAGCACACTTTGTGTGTTAATCCCAGGCTCCAACTGTAATTCATTCTTCTGTGACCTGGCACAACTCTCTGTCACTTCTTCAATGCAACATGCAAAATTTGTGTTGAGCCTTTCACTTAGCTTTTTTCAATTGGTAGGCTTTAAAGATAAAAATCATACACATTTACATGTAAGTGAGCAGAAGAAAGACTGATACCCTGCGGTGGTGCAGACCCACCCGCCTTTGGGCCATATTGTGATGTCAGCATCAGCCATTATGGTCTTGTCCGAGTGAAAAATGCAGTGGGCTGGGGCAGCTTTAGTACTTTCTGACCTTGCCTGAGGAGCAGGGAGTTGAAACATTTCAGTACCTTCCCATCCTGGGTGCGAGTACAGTGAGCTGGGCTGGTTAGGCACTTCCTAACTGTACCTGGAACTCCTGTTGCTGGGCAAACGTACCCCAAACTCCTCCTGCCTGGACCGTCACCCACTTTGAAGAATGCCAAATTGCTTGACAAGAATAGTGGCTACAATGAAATAACACTGACCAAAGTGAATCATCCTGCAACCCTATAATACCGATCCTAAATGAGGCCCCCGCTGGAGCTATTCAGGATCACAGTGGGCTGTGTCTTGGCACCTTCCCCTGAGTTGGGATGCCTCTCAGGCCAGACTCTGACTGTCCACTGGCAAAACCAATAAGGAGGAAAACTGTCTGTCTACAAAGACCAAAGTGGAGAACTGTCTGTCTGTAAAGACAGACCATGACAAGGATCTCTAGACATCCCTTCCAACCCCTACCATTCTGTGATTCTGTGATCCACTTGTAAGAGCTGATGAAGGGAGACGTAATTTAATATATCAGATTTCATAAAATCCTAAAATCATTGGGTACCTAAAATTTATTCTAATCAGCAGAAAGGCAACATCTCAATCATAAGTTAACCTCTATCAATATCTATCTATCTGTGTGTGGGTATGTGTGATTTGTTTAGAAACTTGGTTGACTCCTTATGTAAATCACTGCATTGCATATAATCAATTGTTAATTATTAATTGTTTATTATTAGTGTAACTGTGTTAATGAATCTCATGCTGTTGCTATCTTTAACATATACATATAGGACTCACAATGCTATGTTAAAAGCACTGCACTGAATCCCCATATCCAAATCCTCTTAGTCATAAATTCTTGACCAATTCTGCGACCTGGAGTGAATCTAGCCATACTCTCTAAAGAAGTTTGGAGAGTAAGGGAGTCCATTCTGAACCTTGTGACTGAATGGGACTGTCTCCTTTGTCCTCTATACCCTTAGTCATAAAATGTTAACCAAGTCTGGAACTAAGGGTGGATTTAGCCACCCCTAGGCTCCTCTCTGAGAAGGATTTTAGAGAATAAGGGGGTCCATTCTGAATCACGTAACTCAATGGGAGGGCTTTCTTTACTCCTTTCCACTCCCAGTCCCTGTGTAAAACCATTCTAGCCCAACTCCACGTTAATTTTCCCCAACATATTTCTCTTACAATCATTTTATTCCAGTTCCAAATCAATTTATCTTTATATATATAATTTCCCTTTTTTTTCTACACAGTAAGTAGTAAAAGTGAACCTTGCCATTGAATTTTATTAAGTAGCACTTTATAAATCCATTTTAAAATAACTTTTGTTAACATTGATAAACTTTGCTAAATTTCATCAAATTCATTGAACTTCATCAAATTATCATTATACCTCAATAAAACATATTGCAGCTTTCCCATTCTGAATGAAGTGCATTCCACTCATCCCATGGCAAGCAGAATCCTAAACCAGGATCCTCTAACAAGTGATTTAAGTAACTAAAGTAAAGCTAACAACTCTACACACTCTCCCTTCCTTTCCTTTCTGTGACGGACTCTCACAGAAAAATTCAGTAGGATTCTGCAGAGCTAAAAACCCATAGTTCATTACAGACTAGTCTAAAATCCTGCAGAATTTATTAATTTTGACCTTTTCTATTTCATTCTTTCTTTAATTTTTTAAAGTATTCTATGGAATTCTATAGCAGTCATCTAAAGTCCCATGACATTTAAGAGGGTGGTTATATACAAAGTAAGAAGGATTACTGTTTTAAGTAAATACTCTCACAGAAAGGAGCTCTTATTTGCCTTTCTGTTTCTTTAAGCAATAAAAATCTCCATTTCTCCAGAAGGGGAGAAAATGAGAGAAAAAAGCAATACAAATGAATCATCTTTTTTCTTTTTTTAAACAAAGAAGACATCACTACTTACATTAATGATGAACTAAAAATCACAAGAAAATGCTATAAGACCCTGTTGCTACTATTTTGTGTTCAGTCAGTACCTACATACTCCAGTGTGCATCAGAACACTAGCATATATGGTAAAAAACACTGGAGGCAGTTACAAAAGCAAAAGTCAGGCATGTTTTAAAACTTCCAGGTTAATTTTCACTATATTTTTGGCATTAGACAGAACTAGTCAAAATTAGTACCTTACAAAAAAAAGAACTGAATTAATGTCTCACATTCTATTTACCCATTATTGAAAAAATGTAGTAAAGAATCTCTGCTCTGAAAGTGCAGCTGTATCTGCGAGGTTGTCATAGTTACAACCTGATCTGGTCTTTAGATAGAAGTCTTATCTAAACAGTATCTGTGAAATGTCATCCTCTTATATTATAAACCTGATGTAAAATCTACTATGAATACAGTGTATAATTCACAATCACAATTTATGCGTTATACTAAATTAAGTGCATTATCTGAAAGACCGCAAACAACTGATCAGCAAAACTCACTTAGTAAACCTTCGGCACTTAAGCTGTGTAGAAAGAGGAGCTAACGTTCACAAAGCCAATTCATCAACCAACTTCAAATCCCTCTTGCAAATGTCCTTTACTGTAGCACCTAAGAAAAAGCCCTGGATATCATCCACATAATTTGTGCGCTAATCCATATCTGCCTATCACACACCAGTATTGTCTGGCAGATTTCTGGTATTCTGTCTAGCTGTCAGTGCCCATCTGCTGACTCATGTCTTTATATACAGACATACAGGCACCCTTTACAAAAGAGACCATCTTAATCTTCTTGTAGAACAGCTGGTATAGTAGGATCCTGGCTCCACAACTAAGGCTAAGAACAACACTATTAGAAATGAAGTATAATATTTAATAGGAATTAAAAGACAAGCATTTATAGTTGGCATTTCCTCTCTCACTGTTATTATTAGCAACTACTGTTGTATATTTATTTTATGTAAAAATCATGTAATTCATCAAATAAAAGGATTGGATCACATACAAAACTAGATTTTTGAGTTTAATTTTGCCTTCCTTTTTTTTTTTTTTTTCCAAAATAATTGGAAGTTTTTTTTTCTAGTCCAGTCCCCTCATTCCAAAAAGCACAGAAGATGTTTTGAAACCCAAGTGACTTAGCAGCCCTTGTCCCTTTTCAGTGGAACTTAAGTTATTTACAAAACACACAGTTAATATCCATGAAAATAATAAATTATGTTATCTTATGCTTTTAACCTGTTATGTTTCATAAATGTTATTCACTCTGTAGATAATAAAGGATGTGTGGCCAGTTTCAGGGTGCATGGGAAAACACTGAAGCATCATTCATTTGGTGCCTGCAACAAAATTTTGGGGTTTTAAACCACAGAAGAGCCTTCAAGGGACAAGGTATGCTGGGGCTTGATAGGATCCACCTGTCCTGATGGGGAAAACATAACATTGGGCGTAAGCCGGTGGGGCTGACCAAGAGAGTTTAAACTAGAGTCAATGGTGGAAAAGGATACCAACAGGTTTGCAGTACATACGCGAAGGGCTGGCATGGCATTGTATGAGGATGGCAATGCCAGTGGGAACACCTACACTGCTCCTGGGAGCTCACAGGGATCAGGAGTGTATCTGAAACACTGTACACCAATGCAGGCAGTATGAGACACAAACAGGAAGCATTGGTCAGTTCTCAGAGCTACAATATCATTGGTATTAGTGAGACTTGGTGGAATGAGTCCCACAGTTGGAGTGTTGGGGTGGAGGTCTACAGACTGCTCAGGAGGACTAGGCAGGGCAGGCAAGGTGGAGGTGTCGCACTAAGAGAGAGGTTTGTACAGCTCAAAGTTAATTTTGATGTGGTTGAGAGCCTCTGGATGAGGATTAGGGGGAGGAAAACAAAGGAGATGTTGAAGCAGGTGTCCACTACTGATCACCCAGCCAGGATGTAAGTACTGATGAGTTATTCCATAGGCATTTAGGAGTAATTTCTGTTTTGGTAGCCCTTGTCCTTATGGGAGATTTCAACTTCCCAGACACCAGCTGGGAATATCATACTGCTGTGATGAGTAGGTCTTGGAAATTCTTGAAGTTTGTAGGAGAGCACTTCTTGTCACAAGGTACTCAGTGAGCAAACTAGGAAAGATGCCCTCGTAGACTTGCTCTTTGTGACAGATAAGGACTTGTGGGAGACGTGATGGTGGGTGGCTGTCTTGGCCACAGTGATCATGAAATGGTAGTTTAAAATACTTTTGGTGCAATGAGAAAAAAACAGCAGAGTTGATACGCTGGATTTCAAGAAAGCAAACTTCAAGCTATTCAGGAAGCTACTTAGCAGAGTACCCTGTGAATCTGTTTTTGCGGGCTTAGGAGTCCACAATTGCTGGTCAGTCTTTAAGAGCCACCTTTTAAAAGCACTCGAGGAGGCAATCCCAGTGTGTCATGAGTCAAGCAAGTGGTGCAGAAGACCAGCTTGGCTGAACAGGGAACTCCTCATGGAGCTCAAGAGGAAATATAAATTGTATGATCTCTGGAAGCAAGGTCAGGCTTTGCAGGAACATTACAGAGCTGTGGCTCATAAATGCAGGGAAAAGACATAAAAAGACAAAGCTCAATTAGAGTTGAAACTTGCCAGTGTTGTTTCAGATAACAAGAAGGTAATTTTTAAGAATGTTAATAGCAAGAGGAGGTCTAAAGAAAACATTGGATCGATAGTTGTTGAAGACTTATCTGAAAAACAGGGATGAAGAAAAAGCAGAGCATTCAATGTATTTTTTGCCTCAGTCTCTAATAGTACTGACAGACCTTGGGCTGCCTGGTCCCCTAAGACATAGGGCTATGAGTGTATGAACAGTGACTTTCCATTTGTGGACACTGAAATTGTAAGGGAGCAGCTGTTTCAGCTGAACGTTCACTAGACCATAGGGCCTGATGAAATTCACCTCAGAGTACGGATGGAGCTAGCAGATGTTATGGCAGGACCCCTCTCTATCATCTACCAAAGGTCTTGGGAGTCTGAGGAGGTCCCTGCTGACTGGAAGCCAATGTTATTCCAGTGTGAGGGAAGACCCAGGGAACTACAGAGCTGTTAGTCTAACCTCTGTTCCTGAAAAAATTATGTAGAAGATTATACTGAGTACTACTGAAAGACATTTAAGAATAATGCAATCATCAGGTACACACAACACGGGTTCACAACGGGAAAGTCCTGTTTAACTAATCTGATTTCCTTCTATGATAAGGTCACCTGCCTAGTGGATGAAGGGAAGGCAGTGGGTGTAGTTTTTCCTGAATTTTAGTAAGGCTTTTGATACTGTCCCTCACAGCATCCTTCTGGACAAGTTGTCCCACTGTGGGATAAGTGGGTTCATGGTGCACTGGGTGAAGAACTGGCTGAAGGGCAGAGCTCAAAGGGTTCTAGTGAATGAGGCTTCACACAGCTGGCAACCGGTCACCAGCGGTGTTCCTCGGGGTTCAATTCTAGGGCCATTCCTATTCAATGTGTTTATCGACAATCTGGATGCAGGAGTTGAATGCACCATTAGCAGCTCTGCTGATCACACCAAACTGGGAGGTGCTGTTAACTCTTCTGGATGCAGGAGTTGAATGCACCATTAGCAACTCTGCTGATCACACCAAACTGAGAGGTGCTGTTAACTCTCTTGAGGGGCAAGAGGCCCTGAAGAGGGATCTAGATAGATTGGAGCACTGGGCTATGATTAATGGGATGAAATTTAACATATCAAAATGTTAGATTCTGCACCTAGAATGGAGTAATGCCAGGCACAAGTATAAAGTATAAGCAGGTGCTGGTCGACAGCAGGCTCAAGATGAATCAGTAGTGTGCCCTGGCAGCTAAGAGAACAGAACAAACCACACCCTAGGGTGCATCAAACACAATATAACCAGCCAGTCAAAAGAGGTGATTATCCTGCTGTATTCAGCATTGGTGCAGCCTCACCTTGAGTACTACGTGCAGTTCTGGGCCCTACAATTCAAGAAGGATGTTAAGATCCTTGAATGTGTCCAGAGGAGGGTAATAAAGCTGGTGAAAGGGCTGGAAGAAATGTCCTATGAGGAGCAGTTAAGGACTTTGGGCTTGTTCTCTACAGCTTCTTGAGAAGGGGAAGTGCAGAAGGATCTCTTCTCTCTGGTATCCAGTGATAGGGTGCACAGGAATGGTTCAAAACTGTGCCAGGGGAGGTTTAGATTGGACATTACCAAGTGTTTCTTTACCAAGAGGGTGGTCAAACACTGTAACAGGCTTCGTAGAAAGGTGGCCGACGCCCTAAGCCTGTTAGTGTTTGAGAGGCATTTGGACAATGTCCTTAATAACATGCTTTAACTTCTGGTCAGTCCTGAAGTAGTCAGGCAGTTGGACTAGATGATCCTTGTAGGTCTGAAATACTCTATTCTCTTCAGTTTCACTCAAGCCTCCTATGTGTAGCTTATTGCAAAATGAAATGTACAGAAATCCAGCTGCAACTCAGCTAGCTATATTGCCTTCTCACAGCTTTTTCTAACAGACCTGCAGTGTTTAAAGCAGTAGGGACAAGACTACACACTGATGTAGTAATGCTAGTCAGGGACCAGAGCTCGTTGGTAGAAACTGTTCAGAAACAAACAAAAAAAAAAAATCAAGACTTTGGAGTCTAGATGTCAACACTGAAGAGAAGCATTATCTTAAACCTGCACATGCAACTTTTCTGAAGCAGTAACAGTAGCACATTCAGATCACATTTAGCCATTTTTTTTATCAGCACTGTACTTGGCTAGTATCAGTAAGAGCTGCCACCCCAGTCTTTATTTCTTACTCTATAAACCTTGTATGCTTGTACATGACTTTCTCAAAAAAATATTAAAAATAACATTGTCATTTGCTGCTATAAACCAGAAGGCTGTATTAGACATTGTGTTACATACCACTTGCCAATATTATTCTCAGTAATGGAGAGAAATAATCCAGATACATTATGAAGAAACAATTCTCTTGAGAAAAAAGCAATCCTGGCTGCAGAAAGTTATAGATAAGATCTGATCCATTCACGTACGTTTCAGCAGAGGAGGCTCCAGGTTCAGCCTCAGCACCCAACCCTTTTGGCCCATTTGTATGACTCAGCAAAAGTATCTACCTATGCATCTATGATCTGCTAAGACTGGAATAAGATGTTGCCATTCATAATTATCTCTCATTTAAATAAAATCAGCAGATGAGGATCACATAGTAGAAACTGTTTCTGTAACTTCTATTGTTTTCACAGACATTTACTGAATTTGCCCAGTATTTGTGTATGAGTTGGGAGAGTCCTCATAATATTTAAGAAGCTGACATAACTCTCAGATTGATGAAGATAGCAGAAGGTAGTTCTAAAAAAATACAGAGGAAGTGACAGTCAAATCATCTGTTATGTTTGCACTAGCAGCTAAGTGTGACACAAAGCTTGCAGAGGAAGAGCAGTAACACAGCACAGGTCTGTAAAGGTATCCTGTCTACCCCATGGGAAATCAGGCACAAGAATATTTCAGAGTCTGGAATATCGAAGGCTTGATTTGAAAAGTCTCTAGCTACTCGCCACACTACCTCACAGAAGCAGCAAGCACAAAGGAGTCAGTAGCAGAGGCTAATAGCCACCAACTGCATGCCTTTAAGTATACTTTGCCCCCAGTACACCGAAAGCTGTGAAAAGTCATTTAAGGAGCAGGCAGTAGGGGTACTATAGCAGCAGAATTGCTAAGGCAGAAGGGGACATGTCTCTCAAAGACTGTTTAGATGCCACATACACAACACTCTGTTGTGTGAGGGGATTTCTTGAAGATCTGTAGGTTTCCTTAAAAGCCTCCATTAGAAGGTGATACCTCCTTCAGTTTTTAGGATAAAAAGCCATGTTCCTCTGCTGCTCTCATATCCTTTTGCTGGAATAATACATGCAAAGCTCTCTGTGTTTTGTTATGCCTAGTTTTCCCAAAGTGTAGGCATATCTTTGCACCTGCTCTTTACTTTCATCTCATCACATTTTCTACGAAATTATGCTAATGCACCGGGCTTTATTAAGTAAAATAGACAGCAGTACTGAACAGTTTCCTTGCTTACCGTTCTACGCACTCCTTTACAACAGCAAAATTGCCATCACCAATCACCTTCCCCACTTTATACTTCTCAAGAATGGTAGATGACCCTGAGCACTTGTTTCCGTTCACACCTGCAAAAAAGCAAGGTCAATAATGCAAGCTGAAGAGAAGTGTCAGCAGGATGTAATATATCCCCAATGGGTTCCATAGATACAGAATAGTCACAAATGCAAAACAAAACTTAAAAGTAAGCTGTTTTCCTCACAGCTTATTCCCTTGTTTTTATCTCAGCTATAAGAAAGAACAAGATAAGACTAATCAGAGCTGTTTGACCTTTTAACAAACAAATCAAATATTACTAATTTTTTTGTGGACATATTCTAAAAGTAATGAATGCAATTAAAAGTCCTTGGGCTAAGTATTTTCTGAACTCAAAATACTTTTTTTTGACATCTCTTTTTGCATACTCAAAGCAAAAATACAAATAAGATCAATCTACAACACATGTAAAAGAATCAAAAGGTTTATGTGCTGAATTCCTTCAGGTTCCCTTGGCTGCTGCTGAAACCTCCAAAATGCAAATAAATTTGACAGCTACAGTATTTCTGTATTTTTAAATAAAAACCCCATGACTTTAAAATTAAATTTTAAAATAATTTTTAAAACCCATTGCTTTAAAGAGATAAGGAGTGAAAGGTTAGCTAAGGTCAGTTGATGGGCTAGTGTTTCTACCTGAAGCAAATGTGCTGTTTTGAGGAGGGCTCCACTTTCAATCCAGCCACAAACACGTTTCTGGTGATACTCTGCAGGTCATGTTCAAAATCACTCAAATGCCTAATATCTACTATTGAAGAGCAAGGTCCACTAATATGCTACGGCTTGACAAAAAAAGAACAAACTTTATTTCCTAGCTTTACTCCCTTGATGTAGAAAATGCGTTAAAAATTTTTCCGAGATAAGTTTTTCAATAAGGTATCAAACATCTCAAACAAAAAATTATTTGGACTAATCAGAAACCATCTAAAACTGCTAAACCAACTGTCACTACAAGAAAATTTTTGCAAGGATTGTTAGCAATTACTGGTGTCCTACCTTCGGGACTCTGGCAATGGAGTGATTCAGGTACACCATTCACACTGGAAGAAGATCCACCATGTGGAGGGATCTATGGAAGTACATAAGAACTTATTATTTCTGATGGCAAAGTAATCACAAGAAGGAGCCAGACCAAAAATAAAAAACCCACCAAACAAACAAAACAAAAAAACAAAAGCAAAATTAAAAAAACCACACCCCACCCTAAAAGCACCTATACAGTCAGTTTACTTTTCTTCTCCCATCTTATTTTTATTCTTGCTTTCTCACAGTTCATCATTATTATAATACGTCATTGTCACTTGCACCAATTTGATTCAGCCCTGATACTCCTATCAGATTTCAGTGAACAGCAAAGAAAATTCCTTCCAGCTGCACCAAGTTCCATCTAAATACTATAGAGCCAGTGTGTATGGAGGCAATATTCCCTCCTCCTTCTACACAACAAAATAATTGCAAAACACTGAGTACATTTTCACACAGGCCAGACATAGCCATGTCCAGATAACTATGCACTGGCCAGTGCAGCAAGCATGTGTTCTCATGCTGTAGTCTAACGTATCTCTTCATAGCTGGAACTCTCTGAGGTTTCCCTAAACGAACTCTGTCAATATATGCTCTCTTTAGATTAGCACTGAAGCGTGCTAGGAAGGTAATGTAGAAATCCTTGCATGGCCCTACTAGTTTTCATTTAAAGAAGAGAATTTTGGCATAGGTGGCCGGGTACCTCTATGATAGTCAGATTTGCTTGGTAATCTATCAGTCTATATTTTAGATTATCAGGGATGTGAAGATTTATGACATCTACAAGCATTTCAAGTTTGATGTCTGATATGCATCCAGACATAGATCCAGTTTTAGTAACTGTGACACTGTGTAAAAAACAAACATCTAAAGGATTTTGAAGGACAAAGGCTGATGAAAACTACTTTTGCTGCACTAACAACTTAATTGGTACTCTATCTGAATCTTCACAATTCTACTGAAAGTCATCCTGTCATGCTGCCCAGGGACATGCAAAACAATCAATTTTTGATTTTAAAAAGAGGTGGAAGCATAGGAATGAATGCCATAAATAGTAAAATGTACTTGATGTGTTCAAGGCACCATTCTTTTATAACTCATTACAGTTAAATACAGGGATAGTCTATGAAATTAAAATATATTTTAGATCATTCCACCTCCTCTACGTAACATTTCTTGCTGTTCTGTGAAGTTCCATATCTTGTTTTCTTCATGGGCTATTATAGTAGTTCTCGCCACTCACCACATAAAGGATTAAAATGCTTCTCTGCCTAAAGCTCAGTGTCTGTTGAAATGGCTTTGTATGACACCAAGAATGCAAATGCAGCATTTTCCGTTTTAGCTGACATTGTCTGGTTACACTGCTGAATATTTTAAATCATTAACACTATTGTCGATGAAAGGACTGAACTGACAGATAGGGATATTGTCTAAAGGCTCATGAAATGCTAATGAATGCTTAAGTTTCTAGTGGCAGTTGAGCTGCCAAATCAGCTAAAGGTACAGTAACTAGAAGCCATACAACTTAATTTTGCAGAGCCTCTAAAACAATTATGTTTACTAGCATTTGACATAGAAGTAGCACCAAATTGCAACTAGTCAGCTACTACTCTGCCCCTTGCTAATAACTTAAAACCAGGCTATGTTAATGCTGCTGTCTTTCCAAGTTATCTGTTTAACAAGGATCACAAACAAGGACATTAAATGACATTTGTGCAAAATCACAAGTCAGTCTCTTAACCAGTCAGTCACATTTTCTTCAAGCATGAAGCAGAGATAATAGATCACTGCAAAGCATTAGTCATCAGCCAAAAATATTAGTAATCTATTTTGGGTTTTCAGTAAGTGACAATACATGTGAATATCTAGCCCGTGTCTCCAACTTCCTTCATCCTTGTAATCAGGTCAGAGCATGACTAGGCACATTCCTTCTTACCACAGTATTTACAAGGAGGCAGCAAAGAGCGACAAGGAAAAAAAAGCTAAAAGGAATACAAACATTAAAAAAAAACTAATGTTGCTGTTGTAGCTGAGGTGCTAGATCAGAATCTGAAACAGCAGATTTAACCTTAGCTCTGCCACTAATTTGTATCATGACTCTAGATATGAGGCCAAACTCACTCTACAACAGAGATTGCCTGTACCTTGCGTGCTGTAGGTCTCAGATCCTCAGCAGCAAAATCAGTCTAGTCTTCTGTGTCAGAGCACAGCAGAAATAAGCTCTTAAGATGTCTGCGACATACTTGACCAGACAGAAAAGGTGGGGATGAGGTAGGAATTGACAATAAGTGACACAGAATAAAGTGATTTTTATTATTGAAGTAATTTTCTAATAATTTAACTACCCAGTGACATACAATATTTAGAATATCTTGTACTGTTGGTTCACTAGCCATTCCCGAAGTAGCAAGGAGAAGACAAAAGGATGCATGTTGCTTTGATACTACAATAGTGAATATGGATGCATCTACAATCACACCTCAGATTAGGTTTTGCAACAATTCCTCCTCCTGTAGTATAGTCCACACAGCACTACTGCTCTCTTCCAATACTGTTCCCCATACGCATGATAAATTCATTGGTCTTAAATTCTCCCTCTCACATCCACATGCAAGTCCTAGAAAACACAGACCTAGGGTAGAATTTGATTCTTTGCTTTTAAAAGCTCACAGAGTAATTTAGAGTGGCAACGGCTATGCAGCCCTTCGAATAAAACAATCGCCTCAGAATGTGGATGCTACTGGCCAAGAACATCTTATGTCAACAGTCACTCCTGTGGCGTTTAAACATTATGCAATTCAGAATGTAACAATTATTGCTTTTACTTCCCTCAAGTTGTCTCTCCACAGGTAATTTATGTTTCAACAGCACATCCAGAGCCAAATGCACAATCCAACACGGTTGTTAGACATACTGAGAATATCTTGATGAACACACAGTTCTCAAAACTAGTTGCATATCATTTTACAGATTAAATAAAGATGCTGTGAAGAGTTACAAAAGGTACTGAGCTGAAAAAAAAACCTGCCCAACTGTTTCGTTTTCTTTACATGCTAAACTATTTTCTGTGGAATAACCATTTTTCCAGGTTCACAAAAACACCTAAACACATTTCTATTTTATATTATTTTATACAGACGAACTGTGACTTTAGTCACCAGGTTTATCAACAAGACACATGGTGTTGTGAGAAACACATTAGATCACACACCTACTTTAATACCCAATGTGCTTATTACACTTTGACATAGCAACTAAGGAACAGGTATTTAGCATTCTTCCTTTCACCACTACTAATACTCAACCCATTAAAAACTCTATTTTATACTTTGCATTGTAGGATTTCAATTATTTATTTTTTTTCTCTATCTAAAGTATCCAACGTATAATGTGCCAGACACCTGCATCCTGCCAGATACTGTGTGTACTGGGTTTTATACTTTTAAGTTAATGATAAGAATTTGAAAGAAAAACAAACAAAAAACCACACCCCAAACAAAACCCGTAAAAGCCTTTAAACCATCACAGAGTCCAAGAGCATGAACTGAAACAGGTATGCAAACGTAAGGTGATGTATAAGTAGCAGGAAGGGACCGGCCCAAGATTCCCTTAAAATCTGGATCAGATTTAAGTTGGTGATGTGGGAATGAAAAACCAGCAGCTTGACAGTCATTTTAATCAAGCTACTGGTCCAATAGCAAAGATTTTTAATAAAGTTTTTGAGTCAAAATGCTACCATACATCCAAAAAATATATACATAGTGCTTGTATTTAGAAATGTGCAGGGACATAAGAAAGTAATCCCAGATAACAACACATCTGGTGGGATTTTATTTTTTGTCTCATGAGAGCGAGGAAGTATTCACAGCTATAAACCCATAGCATCTTGAAGTGGAATGGTACCTTGGCTGACAAACCTTTGCACTCAGGATTAGATTAGTTGGCCAGGACATGAATGTTTGTGGAAACATTTAGGGCTTTTTTTTTCATATTGAAGGAAATACCTAACTTCTTGGCAGCTACATGGGATGGTGTCTTCTAGAGCATCCATCTAAAGGTTTCTTGTGTCTGTCCTTCTTGCCTGTCTGTATAGAAACGGAGGACTTTTGCTAAGCACACAAATGTCCTGTGTACACCGTCCTGTACGCATATATGCAAGTGCTTCCTTGACTTCAGTCAGACCTCCTATGGTTGCTCAACATCTTCATAGTATGTCTAAGATGCAATAAATGTGCTGCCCTTGTCCTCCAGCACATTCACAATGCTGAAGAGGCTCTGAACTGTATGGTACACATGTACGCATACGTATGCACATCCACACCCCTGTCTGGAAAATTACAGACAGAAATACGGGAAACAAATGTTATTGTTAATATTTTTGTAATATGCTCAAAGCACATCTAGCCAAACTTAGAAAAAGCATGCCTAAGATTGTTAATTTTTCCTTGAGTTTTGATCTGGCATTGCTGGTAATCTTTCATCTGAAGGCTAAGAAGAGAATGCGAACTCTCATACCTCCAGAAAAATGCCTTGGTATTCTCAAAGAAGCTTCCTTTATCCTTATGAAAACATTCAAATTGGTGATGAATCTAACTAGACTATGAATATTTTAGTGAAATTGTGAATTAACTGTTTGCAGAAGTATTCTCTGAAATGTGGGGACACTTTTGTAATGTCACTGTAATTCATCCTGAAAGGCTCCAGTATAAAAGGGCTAAAAGATATTCCAAACACAAACGAAATGTTATGTAATCAGTATTTCCAGAAAGATGTTGTTAGTATTTATTATTATAATGCTTAATAGTAACATAATCTGTGAGACAGAAACTTCATATTTTTTAAGTGATACTCAAAAATTGCGCATAATCCGACTATACTGAGAAGCTAGTATTGTGTAAAGCATTTAGCAAACCAAGAACAATGGTGAATGGACGCGACACCAAGTGCAATACCTCAGTTTCCCTACCAGCACAAATTAGCCAACTCTTTTTATCCACTGTACGAGCAAGAAAAATGCTGAATTGTAAATTCAATAAAAGCAGCAGTTAAAGAATTCCTCTAAGAACTGCTACTGCATCTGTGTCACTAGGTTGGCTAATTGCATGTAAATATTCTTAACATGTGCTTCTGTTAGCAGTTACATGTGTACAAAACTGAAGAGATTAAAACCTTGATGAAGATAGGCACTAATCCGTCAAATCACTTAAGCACATGTTTAACTTTAAGTACATTAACCGCACTGAAGTAAAAGGGACTACTCAATAGCTTAAAAAGTTAAGCAAGTACTTAAGTTACTTGTTGGATCAGGTTTTAATGTCCTTTCACTTTGGTCAATCAATTGAAAAAGTAATACTGAGACAAATTCAAACACAATGCTATTTAGCATAATTGGGATTCTAAGAAAGGCCTCAACTGTAAAGCTTCTTTATTTGTAGAATTTTATTTTCTTTTTAAACAAGACTTTGTGGTACTTAATGTCAAGAGGGTACAATAAAACACGTCCAAGTAAGCAAAAGGAAGTTACGACACCACTTTCTAAGATCTCGTATTTAATCTAGTCTCTGGATGACTTTTGTGGTATGAAGTGTGCAGAGTAACAGATGTACTCAAGAGCTGAGAGTCAGAGTACCCTTAACAGCATCGCGTATCTGGGTAGCTATAAATGTACACTTGGAACCAAAGAAAAAGGTTAAACCTTTCAATTGTCACCTGCCTACAGAACAGCAAAAGGGCTCCTCTTAGTCAGTTGTCCTGTGCCACGTAATGCACTGTTAGCATTATTTCATAATCCATGCACTAGTTTTAACCTCTGTGGAAAAATTAATAGAAAAATAAGAAACTCAGCACATTTGCTCAAAAAAGAATATTGCACAGAGTAGTCATTTACTTCATGCCCATTCTTGTTGACTTTTAAATCTAAATCTTTACCTTGAAACAAACCCTCTGCAAAGTGAAATGCTTAGTTACAGGCTAAAATTGTGACATTAAAAATAAACAACTTTAATAAGAATACATAGAAGCATGCAACTGGGTGTATGGCATCCAGATTTGTTACTTACTGGAATAAAGGCATTTATTTGGGGTTGTGGGAAACTTCCGAGGTGATTACTATTATTAAGCCACAGCATAAATTCCTTACTTCAATATAAACTCAGACTCCAGTACAATTTTTTTTAAAACACTCCTGCAAGATTGGGATGTTGGACAGTAAAAAGGCTTACTGCATGTACTGAAAAATTAACAGCACAAGGGCACTCCCGTTGAAAGAGCTAAAGAGGACAGAAGGAAAGCCCTTCTCTTTAAAGACAAGCTGTTCACAAGGACTGTTTCCTGCAAGGAGTTTTCTGTGCCTGAGCATATCACTTCTGCTTATAAAGTGTTGTGAAGCAGAAGGGGTACTTGGGGACTGAAGAGACATCACTTTAAAGGAAAAGCGGCATTCAGAGAATATGATGTAAAACTCACTGTCTGAGACTAAGAAAAAATTGCTGTTGCAATTAGTATCTTTTGGAAGTTTACTGCCCTGATGACTAGCATTGCCACTTGAGCTCTACATTGATCATCAAACTTCAAAAACCTTAGACAGGTTCTAATCTACAGTCAAATATTTTATTTTGCTCTGGCTTTCCAAACAACAGTTTTTAAAGTACAGCTGATGTGCAGCTGCTCCGAGGGTCTGCTCTTTACAGGAAAGAAAAACATCAACCCTGATTTGTTCCCTTTTCCTGCTGCCCCAACCTCAAATAAACCCATTATTTATTGTTGCTGTTTCATGCTCTACAAAAATAAACATATGATGTCTACACAACAAATCAGCCAAAATATTGCATTTCCAAAGCCAGAAAACTCAGAAATATACTTTATTCTTTCACTATCTGCCATAGAATTTAAACCTACATTTTCATTCAGCGGTAGTCATGACATCTTCTTCATACAAGTGCAGGAAGCCAGACTACTTGTCTCGGCAGCAATGCAGTCTTACCAACAAGGAATGATTTACAATAGGGAAAAGCAGTAATCTTAAAACAATAAAATTCGTCCCTGCTTCTCCTCTGTCTTCCTCACCAGACTGGCCAAGATCAATTCTACAAGAATAATAATGGGTTTCTTAAAAGAATCTGGTTTGGCATAAAACCATGCCTCCCTGTTACTGGTTTTATATCAACACCACCAAAACAGTTGTTATTACTAGAGCATAATCAAGAAATAAGGGTCACTGCACAGTGCACTTGATCCTTTTGGAATTTATTCTGAGATTCACCAGATAACTTTCCCTATCTTTAGTCTCAGAAGCACAGCTGGGATCCTCCTACTGAACAGATGCATCCTAATGGGATAAACCAAGAAGTACTCACTACTTCAGTAACATGCCAGGTCTGAGATGATTAATTTGGTTTTGCTGTTTTCTTTGGTCATATAGGGAAGAATTATTTGACACAAAACCCCATTAATATCCAGCATCAATTAAATTCCAAAATGAAAAAGTACAACAGTCTACTTCAGTGAAATGAACAGTGAAGGGGAAAGAGGACATGTCCACTTTACTGAAAATTGCTTGTTACTATCAGAATTATCTCTATCTTAATGGAGCTTTAATCAGCTAAAAGCTACACGACAGCGTGGGAAAAAAAATCCAAACCAAACTACCTCGTTTCTAAACTTGTAATTTCATTAAAGAAAGACAAAAGAGCATTTGTTAAATATAGTGCAGACCAGCTGAGCGCCTCAAGTCAAATGATTTTGGTATCCTCTACTGTAAATTCTATAACAGGGCTGTCCAGACAGATTCTAAGTCACACAGTTCTAATTTTCAATGTCAGAACTACTACTGCTCTTGAAAATATTTTACAGGGGGAAAGCCAATCTATGTTTCTTTGGACAAAGACAAGCCATGGGATGGTACAAGCTCAACATAAAGGCAGGGATCAACACTAAATTGCCTCAATGAACTAAAAATATATTAGAATTAAACAAATGAAAATCTTTTTCTCAGAATTCTAACAGAAGCCTGGCAGAAACCAGTGCCATAGTCCTTGCAAAACAGACAAAGACTTAATAACAATTAGCATGTCAAAACCCAAATCTAAATACTATTCAAATCACGTCCTTTAGCCAGTCTCTTAATTGAGAAAACAGTTTTCCACAGAATTATGCAGCCTCTTCACAACTGTTGTGTTCGCCAATGGGAGCTATTACTTGATCTAAATAATCAGTGCGAATCATTCAGTGTGCTTCCAGAAAGGCTGCAATCGATGATTTTATAAGAAAATTCTCCTTGAAAGGACAGCTGCAGAAATGCAGCAGTAAGATGCTAAACTGTGCTCCAGACTGTTCCTTTCATTTTACCAAGGAAGAGGCACAGAGCAGACTCTAAGAACTGTAAATCTACCAATTTTTAAGTGGGAGAGGAAGATAATTCTCTTGGTGCAACACAGAAAAAAATCTGCCAGACATCAGGCTGCTCCCAATGGAACCCCTCATAATTCGAGGCAGGAGACTGCAGTAAGGGGTGAAATTGTGTGCCACGGATGAAGAAGGGTGTTTCAGACAAAATTTTGGGCAATGCTACAAGACTATAAGGTATCCAAAAGAGGATACTACATTTATATAGGCTAAGGGAATATAAATTACTTGAAACGGTTCTGCAGTCCATGAAACAACAGAAAATTTGGATGGCAAATTGGTGTGTTCAAGCCACCATCACCCTCCACCTTCCTAAGATGAGAGTTCCATCCCACCAATCAAAGACAAAATATGAAAATCTTACTTCAGATCTCTTCTCCACTTCAACTCAAAAATCATACTAGCAACGCTACCCTATAGAATTATAACTCTTTTGGTTTTTCTTGTTCTTTTTTTCTTCTTAAGCATCATTCAATGCTGAATCAATACATCATTCAATGAATAAAGGAGTTTAGGGATTTTGATTGTCCTTGCACTCACCTTGAGTCCACGAAAGCTGCCTGGGCTTGTTGGTGAAGAACTGGACGACTTTGTAGATTTAGGGGTGGACAACTGACTGCTTGGGGTTCCATTAACTGTCCAAAGCAATAAAAGCAAACAAATGAAAGAAAAAATGAATAAAAGTCAAAAACCCTAACCTGCTTTTAAACATAACACACCTCTCTGAAAAGTTATCGCTCAAGTCTGCATACAAACACCAAAACAGACTCCTCGGCAATTAAGAATAAATTATACACTTGCACACCACACAACTGTGCCCTCAAAACTCATGTGGCTGGATATGGGATCAAGAAGACACACAAATATTGCATTGTCATTCTAGAGATTAAAAAGGCCTTTTCTGCCCTTTGCCAGCAGAAGAGCTTTGATCAAATAATAGCCACAGCCTTTTTAAATTATATAATTTATTGTAATATCACACAACAAAATATGGGGAGAGAAAGCATTCATGAAAACATATGACCCTCCATCTCTCCTTTTTGGATCAATACCTTACTTTCTAGGTAGAAAGATTCACAGAACATAAATTGTTTGATTTATTTTTTCCCAAGAAAAACAAACAAAGAAACAAGAAGTATGAGCTCTTTGGATGATAAAGATCCTTAAGCAGCAGTTCAGAAAAATATTGATTTAGGGGAAAAAAATCCCAACAAGGTAAAAGCTAGTAGGTTATTTCTGAACTTCCAAGAAGTTCAAGTGTCTGTAAAACCATGCAATATCCTCCCTCTTGACTTCAAGAGTTCATTCATTTAAAGTCCAGTTATCCAGAGAGGCCTGATGCAACATCTGTTATACCTCACGTGACTTGAATATAACTTAGATCAGTCCTTGTATTTTTCTGAAAAAAACCCAAACTGATGAATTTCATTATGCAGACAGAACAGCACACTGCTCATCATACACAAATAAGATGCGGCATTATATGATGCAACATTGTTTCCTTTCTAGCTGAACCTCATTTTTCATGGGAGAGGAAAATACTAGGCAGAAATTTAAGAGCTAAAAAGGTTTCATAGCTGATTCATGGTGAAGAATTTTTTTTTCCAGAATGAAAAAAGCACCCCTGGCAAATACAAACTAGATTATGTCCAGAGGTCCCTTCCAACTTTTGTCTTCCTATGATTCTACAACACATGGTACATTCTGCTGAGGATCCTATTTAGAAGAGCTCTCTGCAGATACAGCTTTGCCAGTGCCTTCTGAGATCCACTGCGTGCGAGTTGGTACACAAGTGCAACAACAGTAAAAGCTGGAACTGGCCCTGTGTAGATCTAAAAATTTTGCATCTATAGGGAGTCAGCCATCTGCTTGTGCTGGTTTTGGCTGGGGTAGAGTTAATTTTCTTCACACTAGGTAGTATAGGGCTATGGTTTGGATTTGGTGGATTGAGAACTGGCTGGGGAACAGAGCCCAGAGAGTTGTGATCACTGGCGCTGGAGGCCTGTGGCTAGAAGTGCTCCTGAGGGGTCAGTACTAGGTCCAGTCTTATTAAAGATATTCATCAATGACCTGGATGAATGGGAAGAGTGCACCCTCAGCAAGTTTGTTGATGAC